ATCTCCAAAACAACATATCAGAATAGTCGACTAATCACCGCGTTCTTATGTGAAAAACAAAACAAAACAAAAAGCAGATTATAATAATATTATAATCTGCTTTTTGTTTTGTTTTGTTTTTACATAAATAAATGCATATTATGCATTTATATGCACACTAAAAAAATAAAATAAAATAAAAAGACAAGTAAACAGTCAGTAATAAAATAGAGAAAATAAACAAATTGGAAATGATAGCACACATAAATACAAATAAATACAAGACAAATGAAATAAACACAGCTTTAAGTTTTTTCCAGGTGGGTCTAACAGTAGTATAGGTTAAAAAAAATACAGATTAATGCTTACAATTAAAATTACTACATTTATTCAGTCAAGAACAGGGAGTGATTTTCTCTTTATCTTTTGTTCTTTGATTAACATGATAAACAGTAGCAGGTTTATTAGGCTGCTGTCACTTTAAGAGCTTATGCATGGATCTAATATACTGTTACACAACATGCGTCTACTAACCTAAAAAACAGAAACAGACTGTTTTAACCTGAATACTCGACATGACTGGCATTTTGACATAATTTTGTGTGTATTTGACCGTTTAAGCACAATTAGCCATGAAAAGGAGCTCAACTTGGTGCTCGTGAGCTGTTTGAGAGCCAGCTTTATACACCAATTATATAGATCAGCGTTAAACCTGCAGAAAATTGTAAAATGATATGCAATTCAAGCACTAGCCTATTCAATCGGTGTGAATGAGATGAGTGACACTTTTTTACTGAATTACTACTATATTATTCTCTGGAAATCATTTTAAACCTGAAGAAAAACCATAAATCTACTGTAAACACAATTAAAATTATTGCTCTTTAGAACACATTTTCCTTATTTTATTGTTATTTTCTATGGACCACCTAGCACTTCATTGGGGTGCCCGTATCCCGGTTTGAAAACTTCTGAACTAGCCAATCTTAATCGACTAACTTCCACAATGTTATCTCCTCTATCTATACGCTGGCAGTACAGCAAACTGAAACTCTTCCCAGCAAACAAGCCAAGTGCTGGTCAAGGAGTCTGAGAAACTCATATTCCAGAATTAAGACAGAGGGTGAAGACCCTTAATGCTATCTATTAGAAAAAAAATCAGCTAACCAGTGACCTTCACCTCACAAACGCTGACTAGAGCAGTTAGGAAAAGCATCATTGTGTCTGGTTTAGTGTGCAGATGTATGCTAAATCACAGGGCTGACTCAAGAACAGCACTCCAGCACATGACCAGACAGTTCACCCCACTTACTCGCTGCTAAATGGAGGAGAGAAAAAGCCTTTTCTCCAAGACAAAGAGTTTTAATTGATTGGAGCTCTAATGAAAGACTGGAAAGATCGCATCTGATTTGGCAGATACATCTGGAACAAGAGAAGAAACACTCAAACTTACTTTTCGCCAAAAGACCTTCTCCAAAACTCGGCGGCGTCTGCCTTGGTAATACGGAATGTGTCTCCTTGGAACTGTCCACCTGGAAAGATGGCTTTAATCTCGGCCAACATGTGACTGAAGATCAGCGAGAGCTTGGTAAGGTTCCGTCTGCAAGAGAACAAAGTACAGGTTAGAGACACACATAGAGAGAAAAATGGACTCTCAGCATTCTCTATTGAGCCAGTTTCTTGTCCTTGACCTTGTCTGGAAGTTAATGTGCCGCACACGTCTCCATTCAAACAGCGTGAGGATACAGTGCAATCTGATGCACGCAGTCTGAAGGGCATGTCGTGGCCACACCAGAAAACAAACACTCACTGGGCTACGGCCAACAGAACAGAGACGATCTACTTCTGCAGCAGCTGAACACTGCAATGACTGACTGTCTACAGAGATGTATAGCCAATAAACTCAAAGATTTTTGAATTCTGAATGCATTTTTTCAGATTTTTTTTCTACAAACTAAAGTTTTTCGACAAAAAAGAAATTGCGACTATAGAATTATTTTGCAAATCAGACTTTATATACATATAAATTCATAAATATACAAATAAATAAGTTTTAATATAGATAATTTGGGACTTTTTATAAGTAAATATTCTATTCTATTCTTACTAATAATACTATTATTATGAAATGGATATTAATAATAAATATTTTACTTTTAAAATATAAAAGGTAAAAATCCCATACATTTTCTCTATAAAATTTTCAATTTCAAATTCATTATTCATATAAATTATTATATATTTGTATATGTATGAATATAATGCAATAAAACAATGAGTTTATGACTCATTGATGAATCATTAATTTTATTTCGCACCATTGTGTCAGTCGCAATGCTCCTGGGATTATAGATCATATAATTTATGCATTTATATCACTGAGTCCATAAGTGGGATGCAGACAATAATGTCTGACTCACAAACAAATTGTTCTTTTGATTGAATATTTTTATGGAATTGTTTAAACTTTTAAACTTCACAAGTTTAATTCAAATAATTGAATTCCATTTATTATGCCTTATTATGCTCTTTCATAATTCAAATGCACAAGTACTTGAAATAGTCTTTGCTTTAGTTTAAAGCTTGTACTAGTACTTTTCCCAAGTGTTACAGTATGTTAACCTTGAGCATCTTTACTTTCACTCACACATGCCTACTGAGTAATTTATAAAACAGTCCTGTAGACATGCAAACAAATATAATTAGTTACACCATCTCTAGGTACCAAGTCATTCATATTTTCAAAGTTGTGTCGCTAAGTGACTTTTCCCATATTGCCTTGTGGCTGGCAAAAAGGGACTCCAGTCCTCAGGGGCTTGTCCCCTTCCTCTCTGTGCCGTCCTCCTGTGGGATTAGAGCGGGCAGATAACCCACCTTTCAGAACAACCTTTCAGGTGGCACTCAATTACGCGGGGCCACTCAGCCCGAGGGAGGTCGAGAGGAACCGGCTGCAAGCGGTAGATAACTAGCCCCTCTGAGGCACAACAAACACACACAAACTTCCAGGATTCACAGTGGTATTTTGTAAAGCTGCAATTGGGCACCTGGAGCTCCCAGAAGAATTGTCAAAATTCGCACCGACCGTCTCGGTAGGTGCAAACAATTTCATCGGCATCAGACCCTATTTCGCATTTGCATTTCGTGTCTAAATCTGGCTGTATATAGAGACCCATTCATTAGTGTGCTGTATTAGCGTAGCTTCCTGTCAAAACATAGCTGTTACAAAGCAATTAACACGTTAGCAGTGATGCGGAACCGGCGAGAGAGGGGAGAAATTGGCAGATGAAAACTGGGGGTCAAATGCAGAGGTGTATTTTACTTCAGAATCTCTATTATTCAAAGTTGTTTTAAAGCTCTAGTCATAATCAAGGGTGCATTTAAACCGTTTTAAACTGTCAGTGATGCATGATCCCACAACCCACCACCCAAACCAGTTGAGCAGAAATCCCACCCTGCAGCGAATTTCATTGGTTAAGGTTACAGTGACAGGTAGGTTTAGGGATCAGTGTTTGGTGTAGGCAATCAGTACAGTGATTGACATGACCAATGAAATCTTTAGAAGTAGCTGGAGGGCGGGATTTCCACTGAACTGGTTTTGGGGATCACGTGTCAGTGATAAATTTCAATTTCATTTCATTGTGTGAGAAACTTACTTAGTTCTCAATGATATTTGCTTTAGATACTGCAATAAAACTCTTTTCAGCCTAACTTAGCCGAGGGGATCCTTTTATTTCTTTAGTCTCTGATGAACCCACCAGTGAACATTCAGTTCAGGTAATAACTCCATGTCTTCAAGTTTTCAATATGTTGAGGAGTCATTTTATCGCCCCATTTAATGCAGTAATACTGAAACTGCTGAGGGATTCATATATATTCAGTGTCAGTCTGGAGAAAGGCAAGCTCAACTGACACAGACCGACTGGGATGACTCTGGGCTTGCTTTTTTGATAATAAAAATAATATATACACACACACACACTACCATTCAAATGTTTGGGGTTAGTACTTTTTTGTTTTTGTTTTTGTTGAAATTAATACTTTTTTTCACAAGGACGAAATAAATTGATCCTAAAAAACGTCTTTACTGTATTTTTGATCAAATAAATGCCACATAAATGCATAAAAGACTTCTTTCAAAAACTTTAAAAAAAATATTATAAACCCAAATCTTGGAACAGTACTGTGAGCGCATATATTAATGATGACAAGCATAATCTCAGAATATCTTTCTGAACTGCAAGTTGGTAAAACAAAGCTGAATAGAATTGCTGACTTTACAAGGCAATGTACAGTTTACAATATAATGTAAAGCAATGTATTATTTTTTTATTTGTTTATCATTTATTTACTGTTTCAAATATATTTTTCTTACTACACATTGCAAATAAAGAGCAAGTTATTAATGATACAGATTTAAGCTTCACCAATAGTTAAAGGAGCTGTATGTAAGATTGTGGCCAAAACTGGTACTGCAATCACTTTCAAATTACTCTAGAGCGGTGTATCCCCTCCCCCTCCCCCCTGACTCAAGGTTGCCAGATAGGCTGCAGGATCCAGCTGGAACGTGACGAGCTGCAGCTGTGGTAACTAGAGCAGAGCTGGCAACCCGGATGCCGCAACACTACTGACTTCGTGATTGGTAGATAGGTGGAGGGAGGAGCATCAGACCAAAACACAACATGACAACATCAACATCAGTTGAGGGCTGCAACTTCACTTTTTAAAGGACAATATCCTGGCCGGACTACTATTGTCAGTGATATAAGTATTTGAAATGAACATGATTTCTTAATGTCTAGTGACATATCAGGGCCATTTTATGATTAATTGAAATAAATTTCTTACATACAGCTCCTTTAAGAAAAAGAGTCAATGTTGATTCACTTAAACTGGCTCATAAGAGTCATTTGATCAGACTCAACAGATTCTCTATTTGAGTAGTCAAACTCATCTGATCACATGTCCGTGTAACATTTACATACATCTCTAATCTTTAACATCCGACATATCCATTACCAGCAAACAACATCCATCCTACATCAAACATGGTCACACCTGCTGTCTTCATAACTATCACAAGAAATTAGAGACTGGTTCACACAGGAACTGCATTATAATGTTTCAATAGCACTCAGAGTGACACCATTACACGGATGAATCCTAGATGCTCATGTGCTGACTGTTGAGTTCACAGCGATCATTTAAGCTTCAACACCTCTGACACACACCAGTTCCCAGCCATGTCCGTGAATCATTTAAACCCAATCCATGCGGTACAGACTGATAACATGTCACACGCTAACCACAAAAGCCAGGGAGAAGACAGTACACCTTTGAGGACACATGAGTGACGGATACACAGAGAGAGCTAATCCTAGTACAGAGGCTTGTCCTGAGGTAAGAGAAATTGAATTTAAGACAGAACAATAATCTCTGCCCACAGGCAACTAACGTATGCTAATTCCCTCTGTGCTGCTAGGGTGGATGAGGGTTTTTTATGTGTCTCACCTCTTATCGAGAGGAGCGGGGGTGTGCTTGAACAGAGCCATTACTTCATGGGACACATGGCTACCTCACGCAACACCACAGCTCAGCAGGATATGGCTGGAGCTTAATCTGGGATATGCAAAACTACTCTGCAAGTCATTTACAAAACAGCTACAAGCCAAGGGCAAAATACATGTATGGAAATGTCTGAAAGAACACAGGATATTCTTTGAGCCTGTTTCTCTTCATATTTGTGATTTCTCCCTTGTTCTAGGGTCAGATGCAGCTAGACACCACCAATAAGCTATAGGTTGATGGGAATGGTTGCCAGTGCATTGATAAGTGGTTGCCAGGATGTTTTAGATGGTTGCTAGTGTGTTATGTGTGGTTCTGGACAGTCTGTGTGGATGCCAGGTCTCATGTGTTCTAGGTGGTTGCTAGGTCATTGCTAAGGTGTTTTGGGTGGTTACTATTTATTTACTAGGGTGTTATGGATTGTTGCGGTTGCACTTTATTTTATATCACTTTCAATGTACTAATAGTGTACTTGCCAATAAAGTACTAAAAAATATAAGGTGACTGCATGGGTTAAGATTATAGGTTTAGGGGAATGTTCAGGACTAGTTATTGTAATTACTACAATAAGTATACAGTATGTACATGCAAAACAGGACTGTAAAATAAAGTGCTACCATGGTTGCTAGGTGACTTCAAATTGGTCCAAGTCAAAAGAGTCTATCAAGTCTCTATGATATTCTGGTGTCTAGACATGATTTGGCTCCCACCTTCAATGCAAGTCTATAGGATTTATCCTCTGCCAGGTGAAAATAATAAGTCGCTTAGAAAAGTAATAACACACATTTTCCCTTAACAAGCTACATGATATGAGGTGTCAGTTATGTCCGTAGTGCAAAATGACTAATACTGAATAATAATAGTGATGCTCGCCTGAGCCACTAATAAAATAGACTGCACATCTGTCTGTTGAATGGAAAGAAAGAGAAATGGTGACTCTTGTCTCACATATGAACACACAAGTGACTGGTCTAAAGGAAGTAGAAAGCCTAATCATTACGACCTTGCTCAATGCATTCAGCTTAGTTATTGCATAAG